TAAGTAATCCAACGCGTGGTAATTCTACGCGTGGTAATTCGACGCGTAGTAATTCGCTACGCGTGGTAATTCGACGCGTAGTATTCCAACGCGTGGTAATTCTACGCGTGGTAATTCGACGCGTAGTATTCCAACGCGTGGTAATTCTACGCGTGGTAATTCGACGCGTAGTAATTCGACGCGTAGCATTCCAATGCGTGGTAATTCGACGCGTGGTAATTCGGGGCGTGGTAGTCCAACGCGTGGTAATTCGACGCGTAGTAGTCCAACGCGTGGTAATTCGGAGCGTGGTAGTCCAACGCGTGGTAATACAGCGCGTCGTAATTCTACGCGTGGTAATTCGACGCGTGGAACGCAAGAACCTAGTTTCCACAGAACTTATCAAATTGAGCTCTTTATTAAGGCGAGCATAGGTTCCCTGAAAAGCAACGACGCCGTTTTACGGTGCAAAATGAAAGCCGAGCTACGCGTAGCGTATTATTAAAACAATGATCGCCAGACGATCCTTCCTCCGTTGGCATAGTTTCTTAGGCTATTTCTCACTTTTACTGCAGCCGTGTGATAGCTCGCACGTTTGTTACGCGGAGTAGAAGGGAAACACGGTAAGATAGTCGGTCATAAAGGTGGGTTACTACTGGAACTACGATGGCTACAACGCTTCCGTGTAAAGTCACTCTCTTGCTTCCTGCTTCTGTCTTACGTATTGCACGCAGAGATGCTTCTTGCTCGTCTAACAAGAGATTTAACTTTGCGGGTTCGTGGAATGATCTAAGACAGAAGTGCGCCTCGTTAGATCCAACGTATGGAAAGGAACTGTAAAGACAAATTAGCACTTTCACTTTATCACATGGGCGGTTTGGACAACTCGAAATCATTTGAGGCTGAAACTTATACAGTTTGCTGTAATTTATTTGTTGTGGATTGGTTCGTATGTAACGATGTGAAACAAACGTTTGTTGTTAAGAGTACGAAGTTGTTTAATACGTTTCGACCGATCACACAAAGGAAATCGATAAAAATTCAACGAACTCGACACCGCGAACGCGTCAAGTGAAAGTTACGCAAACGTTTATGTAATATGTTACAAAATGAAACTCACCGGCAGACAGTTGCGCCGCTTCTTATTCGTAATCGGTGAAAAACCCTCCTGTTACGTGCAGCTCCGTGCATTTCTTACCGGCTGACATTTCCACCAGCATCTCGATTGTGTTCGTTGCTTTCGCGAAACGTACCGAGTTTGAAACGTTTAACTCTGAAACTTGCCGAGTAATATCATAAACCACCGACCTTAGGACGATGCGCTGTTTCTAAGTTTCCGGGAACTTACGTACCCGAATTCACGACGGCGAGTGATAAAACTTGAAGCCTAACACACAATTTTATCCCTCGAATATTAATATTAATAGCCTCGTAACTGTGTTAGACTTCGAGTGACAAAATTATATATCAAATTAATCATCATTAATTTCGTTGGTAGGTAGAAAGATCAACGAAAAGCGGAGTTAATTCTAGGTGTGGTAATTCGACCCGTGGTCATTCGACGCGTGGTAATTCGACGCGTGGTAATTCCAACGCGTAGTAATTCCACGCGTGGTAATTCGGCGCGTGGTAATTCCAACGCGTGGTAATTCGACGCGTGGTAGTTCGACGCGTAGTAATTTCACGTGTGGTAATTCGACGCGTGGTAATTCTACGCGTGCTAGTTCTACGCGTGGTAATTCGACGCGTGGTAGTCCAACGCGTGGTAATTCTACCGCGTGGTAATTCGCGTGGTAGTCCAACGCGTGGTAATTCTACGCGTGGTAGTCCAACGCGTGGTAATTCTACGCGTGGTAGTCCAACGCGTGGTAATTCTACGCGTGGTAGTCCAACGCGTGGTAATTCTACGCGTGGTAGTCCAACGCGTGGTAATTCTACGCGTGGTAATTCGACCCGTGGAACAGTGCCTGCGACACATTGCCACGCACTTGATCGCTAGAAAGACTCAAATTTTGTGAGTGGAAGAGAAGAGGAGAATCCGAGAGATCTTTGTGCCGGGAAATCGTAAGATTGGTATCGCGAGTCTCCCTCCGGTATTGCGTCTCACCGTTGGCGGTGGCGTCGTCATTGTCGTCTTTTATTTCGAGGGAAATTAACGACGACCGGGCGAGTAATTGTCGGCGGCGTTAAACCGCCGCGGAACGTAATTACGCGGGGACAAAGCGACGCCAAGAGTAAATACGGAGACGCAGGGGAAGGGAAAACGAATTTGTCACGGTGGTTTCGAGGGAGGTTGACGAAACTTCTTCCACGTGGTTTTCGTCGAACCCTGCCGCGGTGCCTGACTAAAGCGCCAAGTTTTCGAACTTCGTTGCGCTTTGGTGATGGCTGCCCGATAACGAGCACAACGAACGTTGCATAATTTTAATTGGATGTTTTGTCCGGCATTCGGTAACGGGATTACGTGTCAGGAATGATTTTACCTGGACTCTGATCGTAGGATTCGTTTTTTAACGAGTTCGATTTTCTGTCGACTGACTCGATCTTCGCCGGAGAACACACGCGTTGAACTCTCGATTATTCCTTTAGCTCTTGGATTTCATATTTAATTATTAGAGTTACTTGTTTAGAAGGACGTGCAACTAGTTATCACTAGATATTCTTTACGTTCATCGTGCTTTTTTATCTGTATTAATAGTATGGTTTATACTATAAACACTGGTTTAGTATATTATTAACGTGTGGCACTGACACAGTTCATCATAACTCATCATGCACAACGCATTTATCAAGCACGTGAAATTTAAAATATTTAAGATAACACACAGCCATGAACTGACTACATTGTTTTCTAATCGTGCTGGCGATTATTGCGGTTTCTATTTAAATCACGTTTCGTATACCATCGATTGCGCAATAACAAGCGAAACTGCATCTTCCGCGTAATTTTATTTATCATGCGACCACTGACTTTCACCGATGCAATGCCTGAAAGTGCACGGAAGGACTCTTAGCGTGCAGTAGCTCGCAGTGGTCATCAAATAACACCAGTGTTATTAATTTGCAAAGATGATAATGCGACTTCTGCAAAAAATGTCACGCGCAACTTCGACAAACAAAACTGGTAGGCATCGTTGACGCAACGGCATCGTTGCTTTCCTGGAACATTTTCGAAATCATGTATCACCTTCTGCAATGCAGTAGTTTTATTTTCAGCTGAATTATTAGGTGTTAGAGAAAGTTCTTGGGATTTTCTCCCGGAAATTATTGTTGCATAATGTAGGATATGACTGTTATTCAAGACAGTTTGCACGGGTTTAAAGTATTTAAATTCCCCGGATGGTTAAAAATGAGCCAAGGTACAACTACATGAGTTATTAAACTCCGCTTGCATTTACATCAGATATATTCTTAACGAGTCGAATGCCGCAACGAAGATGCGCATCATAATACAGCATACTTTCATCGATAATTAATTTCACTTTCAAAGTTTATAAATTCGAAGCTATTCCTGAGAATCGTGAAGGTGTTTGTCCCAGTTACAGCAGCGAATTACCAGCGAAACGATATCACGGAATTCTTCGTCCACTTTTTTTCTATTCCAGTGGCTACAATTTTTAACTCATCGTTCACGGAAGCAGCGCGCCGATTACGTATTACCACGTACACCATTTTCAGGTACAATATTTTTCAGGTAAAATTCGTGTACCGGTGGCGTCGGCGTTTCCTGACGTTATCCAGAAACAAATGGACTTTTAAATTGCACTCGCGAGCCCCACCTGTAGTCGGTGCATGGGCCCTCGCAATGGTCGCCGATAACGGATGCAGCGTTGCGAGCTCGCGACAAATTTATACCATTATATTTCCGTATTTACTTCGCCGCGGACTGCGGGGCCAGTGCTTTGTTCTACACGTAATTACGTCCCCTGGCGCTTAATTCACGACGATTAAATTGCATACTCGACCCTCCGTCCCCCTCACATCCCCCTTTCACCGTAACACACTCGTTAATTCTCCCGAAATAAGTGCATCTCGCGATCATTGCCACTTTCGGGCTGCACGCTCCTCGACCGTTGCTATTTCGTCATATTCGTGGGACGAGTAATTGCTTCAGTTAATTACACTGTGTACAGAGCGTTTCTTAGCCAAATGCGTTGTTGCTTTTAAGCTCTCTTCGAGTATAATTCTAAGCGTGGTAATTCGACGCGTGGTAGTTCAACGTGTGGTAATTCAGCGCGTGGTAATTCTGCGCGTGGTAGTCGAAAGCGTGGTAATTCGGCGCGTGGTAATTCTACGCATGGTAATTTTACGCTTGGTAGTCGAAAGCGTGGTAATTCGGCGCGAGGTAATTCTACGCGTGGTAATTCCAACGCGTAGTAATTCTACGCATGGTAATGCGGCGCGTGGTAATTCCAACACGTAGTAATTCCACGCGTGGTAATTCGACGCGTGGTGCTCCGACGCGTAGTAATTCCACGCGTGGTAATTCGACGCGT